ATGTACAAATAAATTTACCATCTAAGACCAAAATATTTTTATACAATGTTTCCTAGTTCTGAAGCTGGTAGCTTGAATTGCTAAATTGTAAACATTCAAAAATAGTAATTTGTATCCTCTCAGTTTCTTTTCTGCTCTGTAAATTTCAGAGTTGTAAGGAAAAAGGATGGCCAAATATCCATTTCAAAGAGTCACTAGTGCTTAAATGCATCTTCTAAAGAATTCAGGCTGTTCTCTTGCTTGCTTTTGTTCTGCTGGTGGTGTCATGTTACCGGGTTGTTATCACTATTTAAATATGGTTGGTAATGCTGGCTGTTCTGAGGACAGGGACTGGGACAAAAATACCAGATTCTATAGAATTTATTTTTCTGTGTTTTGCAGAAGTTGCTGCCGAGAATCTAAGGAAAATTGGAGTAATTCCAGACCTTCTGTCAATTTTAAGAAATTTTATTCATAATGAAAAGATCTGCTTCTCTTGCTGTGGGGTTCTCTGGAGCTTGGCTGTGAGTGGTGAGTAGAACACAGCAAGTATTGTGCCTGGCCTCGTGTGACTGAAAGGCAGCAGGTATTGTGCCTTGAGTTCAGCCATTCCTGTTGCTGGGACCGGATTCTTCTTTTCTCCCGTTCTGGAGAGATGTCTTCAGAGCACTGCTAGAAAAACTTTAAGTGATCCAGCGTGAAACGAGAGAAAACTAAAAACCAATGCCGACTTTTTAGCAACTCTTTTTGTGATAAGGTGTCCAAGTCCAATTTTTACTGTTTAGGACGAGATACAGCTTGTGAACAGACTGTCAGAAATGAAAGGGTACGTGCAGTTTCTGGTTTGTCAGTCGTGTTGTTCTGCTCTGCTCTTAGCAGAGGGAGTGCAGTGCGAGCAGCATATTAGATTAGGTATCAGAATAGCATTTGGAATTAATAGCATCTTATTTCCTTGCATCACACTTCCCTTGGCAGCACTGGGCTAAATCTTGAGTTGGAGATCTAGAGACTTGCTTTTTCAGAAGAAATGTGATTGGTAAGGTGGCAGGTAGACTTCTAGCATTGCCTTAGAACTAAGCCAGCACCATCCCCACAGTGCTGGAGAGCCCTGGATGATTGCTTGAGCTGACCCCTTCTTAACAGACCACGCTGGGAATTTTTTATAGGATTCATTCTGTGACATGTTCTTGTATAGGTGTGTGTATGTTCTAATCATCAAGAAGTCTGAAAGCATGCAATGTGCACGATTGCACTTGGTGTGTTTTATTCCCTCTGTGCAACAAACCACCCGTTTGATTTATATGACCAGCTAAATATCCATCCCACAGACCACATGCTCTCAAAAGGGTGGCTGTTTTTGGAGGTTTCACGCTGTGATCCCCGTGTATAATTTAAATGGCAAAGAAAACTAGTACCGAGAGAAGTTCAGATTTCTGTAATAAATGTTACTATTAGTCCTGTGAAATTTGATTTGGTTTTGTACATTTTAAATTCTTTCCCTTTGCTTTTTTTTTGGTAGCAAAATAGCATTGCATTACTGCAGTGCTATCACCCATTAAGATTTTACTGATATAATTTGACAGATAATGGGCTTATGGTATTATTACTTGATTAAATAACTCTGATGCATTTCCTTTTTGTTATGGTAATTCAGAGAACAACGTAGACCAAGAATTGCTGAGAAGTGCTGTCCCTGTTACCTCTGCCACCCTTCAAGAGCACCTCCAGAATGGAATGGTTGCGGAGTCTGCTTGCTCCGCTCTCTGGGCATTGTCCCTCCAAGGTGTGTTTTCCCAGTCCCCTCGTCCCTTTGCCGTGCTCGCCTTTCCATGCGCACCATGTCTGGCGGTCAGTGATGATCCTTGAAATACAGGCTGCTTCATCTTAGCAGGCTCTGCAGATGGCAGCAGAGTTAGGAACTTGTATCATCCCTTAACGAGTCTTCCATGCACTTGCTCTCTAACGCTCCCTAATGAAGCTATTTTTGATGAGCCGTGGCAATTATATAACTAGATACTGCAGATGGGCCCTGTAAGGATGGGCAGCTGCGAGAACCTTGTTGCACAGAGCATTCTCTCTGGCTTCTCGCTTAAGACGAAGAATCCTGTTTGTGTTATTCCTTTGAACGCAGCATTAGTGTCATGCAGCATGGGCTGGGAATTTGTTTTTATGCCATTTGCTTTGTTTTCAAATGTTTTCTTTTTAACTTTTATGACATAATTAAAGGACATTTTACAAACAGGAAGCAGAAGTTGAAATGCTGAGCATTTTAGAGGATTTTAATACATTGAAGTTTTGGGGGTTTGTTTGTGTTTGTTGTTTTTGATTTTTTTTAAAGGTTGCTTAACTGAAGAAGAGTATGAGCCCACAACAGCGCTTCTCCTGGAGGCACTCAGGGTGAACCCTGAAAGACCAGTGCTGGTGAAGAATGCCTGCCTAGCATTAGCAAGCCTCCTGAGGCTATCTGGTAACATTCAGCAATTCTTTTTTATTATTGATGGCAATTCAGATCAGAAATGAATGTTTTTGTATAGTTCAGGAGTTCATAGTGGGATTGGGACTGGCATCTGCCCTCCTGAGTTAACCTTTTCTTGCAGGACTGAAGAGGAAATAATGATATTGGAGGTGTGCTTTTTTTCCTTCCCATGGACCCAGCATGCACGTATGAGAAATATTAGATCAGCACAATCTGACCTATTAATAAACTTGAGCAGTTTGTTACTTATTTTACCATGAACTTGTTTCAACTGTGCAAAAGGGTAGAGTTCGATCAATGTGAAAACAACAAACATTAAAATATCACTTCTGCCATGCAGGACAGTGTCAGCTGCATACCTGGGCATCTTGTTGCCCAAATATGCTTCATAATAGCTTTTAGCAAGTCTGAAAATCATGGGCATGACTTCCTGGAAAAATACTAAGAGTGCTGGCTGCAGCAGGGGATTGGAAAGCAGATAACGCAGTCTGCAGCTACCCGATAACCCAGCAGTGTTTGTCTCCCTTTCAGAAATACCAGCTTTGAGATTTATAACGGATGCAAAAGGCAGTGGAATAAACCTGATCAAAGATGCCTGCCACCTTCACTTGGATGATCCCGAAGTGGTGGAAAATATCTGTATGCTGATTAACGAGATGGTTCAGTATGGTGAGATGGTGGTTTTATTTGTTGAGTCTCTTCCTCTCCGCCACCCTTGAAAGTGAAGAACAACAGAACAGCAGCTGCTCAGGGACGTGTTAGTTGCTCGTAGGAAACTTTGGATCTGAGAGAGAGGCAGAATTCGAACTGAGAGTTCATTCCACTTGTTCTTGAAAAATTATAAATGCCACCCTGATGCTGTGATGTTTTAACTTCATCTTGTCTTGCTTTCTCTTTATGTAGATCTGTCCTCTCTCTGCTCTCTTCTAGCTCTCCTGGAAACTATTGGCAGTTGTAACTATAATTTATCCTGTTCGTTTTCACTACAGATGATGTTGTGCTGGATATGCTGTCCCAGAAAATGGAAGAACTGCTGTTTGAAATAAAAAGCCAGTTTTCATGGAGCATGGTACGTAGAAGTGCCTGATAATAAAAGGTGGATGCTTAGTATATTATTTTTGGTTATGGATTTTAGAATTCTGAAATAGCTGGAATTACACAGTGCAGAAGTTTAGGGAATTATGTGTTTATGGGGTGAAAAGTGAGTTTGTAACATATTTCTAAATACTGAACACAAGTAGTGGGAAGTTGTTTTTCTTTATGCTTTTATTTTTTTAAAACTATGTTCTGGTCTCTTGCAACATTGCATTGCACTGATTTACTACATTATTCATATTAAAACAGGCTAAAGCTTGCAGGAATAAAGCATATTACATCCAATTATTTTTGCTTTAAGTAACATCCTTAAAAAACAAATAATAAACCCCCTTGTAGTTCTCCAGTGTCTGCTGCAGCCATTGCTTGCACCGAGTGGACAGTGCAGCTCTAAGATGGTGCAGAAAAAAAGAATCACAAAAGAAAATAAAGCTCCCTCTTCTGTTGTAAATGTAATTTTTTGTTCCCTGTGTCCCCAGTTTACAGACAAGACCAGAACACAGAACACTCTCATTCTGGCAATACAGCGGCAATAAAGCCTGTGACATGCCACGGCAAAATCTCCGAAACCCATTCCTTGTCACCTTCCAGGATCCATTTAGATTATTTAAATCACAGCATTCGGATTCAGTCTGGCAATTACAGTTGCTTTGGAGTGTGCATCATCAGAGCCCACATATATTGAAAACACCACTCACTTTAAAGGCCTATGTTAGACACAGTGGTTTTTATTAATAAAGGAGTATAAAAATAAGTGAAGCAGCAAGATAATCTTGTATTTGACAATTCTCACGTTTTCTCTCCAGGAGATAATGACCCTTGTGGATGCAACGCTTTTGAAACTGCAGAAGTAAAACAAAAACTTCTTTTATAAGAACAAGACTTCTAGTTCAAATATAAAAGCTTGGATCATCCAGAAACATTTTAAAAGATTTTTCTCACAAGAAAGATTAATACTGTGTCATTAATAATAAATACATTAACAGAATATATAAATGTTTAAGTACCACAACTGTGAGACTAACAGCAGTAACGAGAAATTCATCCTACTTTGTAGACTTCAAAATATTTGAAATAAAGATCTTAGTCTTGGGAGTTTCAGCAAAGCAATGAGTTTCTTCCTTCGTCTATCATAATTTAAACCCAGTTTTTAAAGAACTCCAAACTTATTCAGTATATATTTCCTTTGCAGAAATCAAACTGATGAAGTAGTTCACAAATGCAGGCGTTTGTTACAAGTATGGTTTAAACACAGTAGCAGACGTTAGGCACAGCTGCCGTCCGGAAAGGGGACACTACGAGCCGTCTTGTACGGCAGCAGTCACCTGCCAGGGTAGGGAGTGTGAATTTTGATTCATTGCATGAAGTAGCTGGTGTCAGTTCTGAGTTATCTCTACGTTTGCCCTGGAACGTGACATGAAACCAGTAAATGCTGCAGATAAAAAACCATTCAAGTTTTGCGATTTTTGTTGTTAGATTTGTTCTTAACGTCGGCTTCCCAGTTCTTTTTCTCTAACGTGTACAGTCTCATAGCTGCTTGGGCATCCTGAATCTAAAAGAGAACAGAACAAACAGGGCTTAATGAAACAGGTGACATGGTTTAAGAACCTTATTGTTTATAGGCAGCTAAATCTTCCATTATTTTAATACATCCTTTCAAGTAACATTTCATAATCTTGTTCTAGATTTAGGTTCAGTGACTAGTGGAAGGATATGACTATGTATTCAGAATACATGGCCCGCCACAAGGCGATGCACTTCTCTTTCTCACTGGGACTTGAAAAGCCATAATCAAAAATATACTCCTGATGCAGTTATCTTGGAGATACCCTCACGATCTGCCCTGCTTTTTCAGTTTGTTCCTCTGCTGAAAGAAGCTAACTGCTGAGACTCAGTAGTAGGCTCTCACACTATTTTATCCAGCCTGCCACAGTACAATGGTGCAGAATGCTGCTTTTAAGGTAAGCAGTGGATATTTAAGAATTACTTTTATTTTTCCCCGGGGATCTTAAAATAACAAAAATCAATGTTAAAATACAGTTGACTTATGCAAAAGAAGTTTATGAACATGGGGAAATAATCCAAGGGGTATGAGCAAGGTAGGGTGGCAATCCTGTGGCGTCCTGGTGTGCAAACAGGGCTTGGGAACTTTCACTGAAAGGCTAGAACAAAGTTACAGCATTCTGCTCTGATCCAAAAGCCCAGGCTGATGTGCAGTGCCTTGCTGATCCACCCAAAAATGTATGTTCTGATGAGATACGTACCGAACAGTGCTCTGATGTCTGCACTTGAACATTCAGCAATCTCTCACAGAGCAGTTTCAGTGATGGCCGTGCATTCTAGAAACAGAAAAGCAGAATCATGTTGTCTTGCACTACTTGAAATATATACATAGATGTGTGCATATATAAAAAAAATTATTAGCTTAAGTGTGTTTCTCAAAGTAGAGCAGCTTCTTCTAGTAAACTGTCAACAATAATTAATGAATAATGAGAGTTATGTGTGCACTGCTGAGCATTTTATGTGTATTACCATAACCCCAAGATCTATGCCTGTGGTGTTTTGTTGTGAAAAAGAAAACCCGAGTATATAGTTATGAAACTTAAAATATCTCCCTATAATCTTAACCTTTACTCTTGCAGTCTAAGCAGAAACTTGAAGCCATCTATTTTTTTTTGTATCCCTATAGAAATGATACCATTAAGAAGTGAAGCCCTCCTTTAAGCAGAACTGTCCCATCTTATTTTGCTTTGCAGAAAAGCATTGTGAGGACTATGCAAGTGCTAAAGAATGGGAAAGCCACTGCATTTTTTGCAGATATTCCTGGTAATGTTTGCACTGAACTAAGTAATTTACTGATATATTTCAAACACTAAGCATTCAGGCTAGTATGTTCAATTGACAAAAAGGAGGCATCCCTGTGGTAGGTAGGAAAGAAGGAGCAGGGTGAGGCAGGGGCAAGCGCAGCCCTGAGTTGGCAGCTGAGGGTCAGCAGCTCACCAGTCAGTCAATTGAGGGGCATCTTCCTCTCAGCTTCTTACCTTGACTCTCTGTCTGAAAGGCTTGTATCTTTGTGTGTCACGCATCTTCTTCTGAGGATGATCAAGGAATAGGACCTAAAAGAAATTACATTTCCAGTCCAAAGTGTGCTGTTGCATGGAAATTTGCACAGCTGGGCATACAGCTTCCTGCTGTTTCCTTCTGTCTGTTACAAGAGCTCCCTGTCTCTGGTAACAATGACCAGACTGCTGAGCTTTGGGGGCTAAGCAAAGCATGAAAATATTGTTTTTTCATCATTCTGTTTTGTTCCTGACTCTTCATAAGCAGATCAGTGCTACTGGCAACACTTTGAAAGCTGAAGAACTTTAGTGGGCAAGTGACTAGGGCTATGCTTGGTGCAAAATAAAATAACAAGAGATGGAGGTAACAGCAATAAAGCTGTGGTTTCTAGGAGTTTAGGTGTGTTCCTCTGGTCCAGAAAGATGTATTAGAAATTTAATCAATCTTAAAATTTTTGAGCCTTGTCTTTAAAATAACGAATCTGCAGCCACGTACCTTTAGATCATTGCGTAAAGCATGTCCAACTAAAATCCTTCCATTCAAGATTTCAGCAACCTCTTTCTGAACTGTTTTAAAATCCTCACCTAAAATTATCACAGAAGGAAACACTTTCCATTAAACACGTAAGACAAGTAACCAAAACACTGCATCATTTATGTGAAAGCAATTGTATCCTTGGGCTGTAGTTATACAAATTTGTACAGTACACTAAGTCCTCTGCTTGTTAGAAGAGCACAGAGGATTCCACAAAGGGCATAACACTAAAAGGAAATAAACTTGCTATTACTCCCATACCATAATCCATGAGTTAAACTCTTCTAGGGCATTAATGACCACTCTGTAAAAAAGTACTTCATTCCACAATTTTTCTTAGCATTCAGGCTACATTTTGTTTTCCATTTTCCAAAAAAGCTCTAAAACTTTTCCAAGCTCAGCCAGAAAGGCTTCTGTGAGAGCCTGTTAAACTCTTCCTCCTTAAAGAACATTTCGGGGAAAAAACCTCCTACCTTTATTTATATTTTCAGGGCGTATGCCACTAACCGCTGTTCTGTAATCAGTCACCTCTTCTGTGGGCTTGACGTACTTGTCATAAATGCACTTTCCAAACTGGTTCACGATGGACACCCGAGCCACAATACTGTCCTCACCCTTGGGTCCCACACCCACCATCTCACAGTCCATGGCTACAGCTCGTGTCAACCTAAAAGACAAAGGACAACTTGGTGACACCTCCGTTACAGGGACCACACTGCAGAGTTCCCAAAGTCTGTGCAGCAATACAAATGGGGAACTTGGCAGTTTGTCTGCCAGCAGACTCAGGGAGATGTCAGCTTATGCAGTGCACCTGCAAATGACACTTATTAGAAGATAACCTCGATGCCATCCTTCCCTCTGGGATGCCACTCACCCTTCAAAAGCCTTTTCTTTAACCAGCACCTGCTCCACAGCTTGGCCTGTGTCGAGTCCCAGATTTCTTCTAGCAATTTTTGCTGCTTCTGGTCCTATTGCTGCTTCAATATCTTTTGGATCGACGTCATCAAACCATATTTCAGGCCTGGTAAGTACAGATTTAATTACATTTAACAGTCTTAAGGCAGTCTTGCATCTTTATAAGGTACAAAGAGCATATTTATTTCTTAAGTCAATAAATTAGCTCTGTGAAAATTAGTACTGTCACCTACGCAGCTTCATTGCTGTATCTGAGAGGCAGGAGCAGCACGTATTTTATTTCTCCCAAAATTTAGTCTGGAAGAGTGTAGCTGTTTTGAATGTACTGCTCTATGCTCCTTAGGTACACCGCCCAAAATATTTACATACATGTATGACGCTCCAAGTACTCACTCTTTGGGTTGCTGCTCTGCATGTTCTTCAGTTTTCCTCCTCTTATGTTTTATATCACCTTTCTCCTTTAAAATAGTGCCATTTTTCTCTTGGCAGCCTTTTTCATTGCTTTTGGTGCCTTTTATATTCTTGCCCAATGCAACCCTCTCGGATTTCGGCTTAACCGAAGGAGGACTGTTTTTAGCAGAACCACTGTCCCCTTCATCTGTGGGTTTGGCCTTTACCACATTCCCGTTCCCGTTGATCGCTGGGATTTCTTGGTTATTCTTCGCTTTGAGTGGATGCTTCTTTTTGGTGCCTGCTTGATGTGTAGAGAGGGCCTTGTTGGAGCTATCTGTCTTTTGTTTCAGCAGCTAAAAGGACAAAAAAAAAAAAAAAGGGGGAAGAAATTACCACTCTCCGGTTCTGAGGGCTCCTGGCGTTCTGCCTCGGGCCGAGTGGCTTCGTTCTCTAGCTGCTTCTAGGGGAATTCCCTGCAACGGGATGTCCCAGATCCCTGTCCGCAGCACTTTACTCATTGACACAAAGATTATTATTATTATTTGTTTTTAATTACCAGCTACAATGTGGGAGTGCAGTCCGAGGACGACAGCGTGGCCTCGGCCTTCCCGGCCGCCTTCCCCGTCCCAGCACCCCAGGGCCTGGCTCTGGCTCGCCCCTGGCGACTCCCCCCGGTTCCCCTCACCTCCTGCAGCGCCTTCCAG